CCAATAGGGCTGTCTGCAAGGAATCAGACAGTAAAAAATTATTACATCGAAGGATAAGATCTGAAATAATCAGCATCATTCATTCCAATTACCACAATTTTCTTCTAAATATTTGCCACTGAGACCAACCATTTTGATAAAAGGATTATTTTCAGAACAATTTCATTATGTACAAGCAGCTTTCCAGAACAATTTGCATAAAATGTATACATTTGTGATGTACTGTTAAAACTCCCAGTTTCTACAGTTCTTTCTACTTTGAGTTGTTCCATTTCCATCTTGTCTTTACTAATAATATAATATAGTATATTGTATATACATATAATATTTATAATATTATAATGTAATACAATATAATACAAGTAATAATAATTCAATATTATAATTATAATTATATATTTACATTACCTGTAATATTACTAATAATATTACAATATACTGGTATAGTGCAATATAGTAATATATACTGATATTGTACTATGCTAATAATATAATATATTGTATGAAAATATATATTGTAAGCCGCTCTGAGTCCCCTTCGGGGTGAGAAGGGCGGCATATAAATGCTGTAAATAAATAAATTATATATGGTGATTAATTTCAAGATTAGACTGAAATCAACACATGTGACTTAGCATCCAACTGAAACCTATTAGTGCTGCTTTTAAAACTTGAATTACAATGGGTGCTTGGTGTCTGCTGATGTTTGGTTCCAGGATCCCTAATGGATACCAAAATCCATCAATGCTCCACTTCCATTATATACAATGATGTAGGAAAGTAGTGTCCCTTATATATAATGGAACAATTAAGGTTTGATTTTTGGTGTGTGTGTGTATACACACACACACACACACACACTAGCTGTCCCCTGCCACACATTGCTGTGGCACAGTCTGTTGATCTGGAAAATAAAGTAATGAGAAAGTGTTGGGTTTCTAATCTATGTAATTTCTTTATGCTTGCGGGTAAACAGTATTTCTTGCTGTTTCTTTGTCAGTGTTGGTGTAGAGATTGTCTGGTTTGCCCACCCTGGAACATGCAACATATCATTGTCCTTCTTTAAGGGTCCCTTTCAAATCTATGATACTATATCTCTGTGTGTGTGAATGATATCTATCTATCCATCCATCCATCCATCCATCCATCCATCCATCCATCCATCCATCCATCCATCCATCTATCTATCTATCTATCTATCTGTACACTATAATCTGCCCTGGGTCCCCTGCGGGGTGAGAAGGGCGGAATATAAATACTGTAAATAAATAATAATAATAAATATCTATATCTATGGCTGGATGGCTCTTTGTCAGGAGGACTTTGATTACGTTTCTTGCCCTGATGAAGGGAGTTGGATTGGATGGCCTTAAGTATTTTCTGTTGGTCATGGGGGTTCTGTGTGGGAAGTTTGCCCCGATTCTGTCATTCGTGAGGTTCAGAATGCTCTTTGATTGTAGGTGAACTGTGAGTCCCAGTGACTACAACTCCCAAATGTCAAGGTCTACTTTCCCCAAACTCCATCTGTGATCATATTTGGGAGTATTAAGTACTTGTGCCAAGTTTGGTCCAGATCCATCATTGTTTGAGTCTGCAGTGCTCTCTGGATGTAGGTGAACTACAACTCCCAAACTCAACGTCAATGCCCACCAAACCTTTATTTTCTGTTGGTCATGGGAGTTCTGTGTGCCAAATTTGGTTCAATTCCATTGTTGATTGAGTTCAGAATGCTCTTTGATTGTAGGTGAACTATAAATCCCAGCAACTACAACTCTCAAATAAATGACAAAATCATAATTTTTTGATTGATGGTCACTCCTTGTGTTGTGAGACGTTTTGTTACCAAATTTGGTGTGATTTTGTTCATTGGTTCTTTTGTTTTTAAGGTACTCATTATGCACAGAGCATTTATAGATATATATATAGATATAGACAGGCATGTAGGCCCCCCCCCCCTCCCCAAATTCTCATGGTGGTTCGCGAAAAGGCCTTACTGGTGCATTATTTAAACTGTTATGTTTATTCATATCATGATCTGATCACCATACTCAATATATCCCATATGCATGGGGGTATTGGGGTAATGATACAAAAGGTTTGCTAGGCTAGACCTCTTTCACTCAGACTCAGCCCCCCCCCAAAACTCAGCCCCCCCAACCCCCCCTGAAAAAAATTCACCCCTCCCCCCCGAAACGAAATCCTGGCTACGGGCCTGGATATAGATATATAGATATATACATATATACTTGACATTAAGTCTAGTCATGTCTGACTCTGTGGGGTGGTGCTCATCTCCATTACTAAGCCAAAGAGCTGGCATTGTCCATAGACAATTCCTAGGTCATGTGGACAGCATGATTGCATGGAGCGCTGTTACCTTCCTGGCGGAGCGGTACGTACTGATCTACTCATATTACCATGTTTTCGAACTGCTAGGTTGGCAGAAGCTGGGGCTATCAATGAGAGCTCACCCCACTCTACAGATTTGAACTGCTAACTTTTTGGTCAGCAAGTTCCGCAGCTCAGCAGTTAAACCCTCTGCACCACTGCTATGAATAATCGAATTAGTGGATTTAGAATCCATGAATACAGAAGGCCAACTGAAGATCTAATGTACAAACTTAACTCTAATGAATGGAATCTGCATATGAAACACTTAAATTAACTACAATGAGTAGAATGAACACAGACATCTACTGATACATCCTGTGATCATCAATACTGCAGTAAGACACATTTAAAAAAGGGGGGAAGGAAGGAAAGTTAGAGAAAGAAGGAAGGAGAGAAGGAAAGAAAAAGGGAAAGAAGGAAGGAAAGGGAGCAAAGAAAGGGGGGAAGATGTAGAGAAAAGGAGGGAAGGAAAGAAGGAAAGAGAGAAGGAAGAAAAGAGAGACAGCAGAAGAGAAAGAAAAGGGGGAAAGGAAAGAGGTAGAGAAGGAAGAAAGGAGAGCAAGAGGGAGGGAAAGAAAAAGGGGGAAGGAAGGAAAGTTAGAGAAGGAAGGAAGGAGAGAAGGAAAGAAAGGAAAGAAAGAGGGAGTGAAGGAAGGGGGAAGATGTAGAGAAAGAGGGAGGGAAGGAAAGAAGGAAAGAGAAGGAAGAAAAGAGAGACAGCAGAAGAGAAAGAAAAAGGGGGGAAGGAAGGAAAGAAGTGGAGAAGGAAGAAAGGAGAGAAAGAGGGAGGGAAAGAAAAAGGGGGAAGGAAGGAAAGTTAGAGAAAGAAGGAGGGAAAGAAGGAAAGAAAAAGGGAAAGAAAGAAAGGGAGCAAAGGAAGGGGGGAAGATGTAGAGAAGGGAGGGAAGGAAAGAAGGAAAGAGAAGGAAGAAAAGAGAGACAGCAGAAGAGAAAGAAAAAGGGGGGAAGGAAGGAAAGAAGTGGAGAAGGAAGAAAGGAGAGAAAGAGGGAGGGAAAGAAAAAGGGGGAAGGAAGGAAAGTTAGAGAAAGAAGGAGGGAAAGAAGGAAAGAAAAAGGGAAAGAAAGAAAGGGAGCAAAGGAAGGGGGAAGATGTAGAGAAGGGAGGGAAGGAAAGAAGGAAAGAGAAGGAAGAAAAGAGAGACAGCAGAAGAGAAAGAAAAAGGGGGGAAGGAAGGAAAGAGGGAGAGAAGGAGAAAGGAGAGAAAGAGGGAGGGAAAGAAAAAGGGGAAGGAAGGAAAGTTAGAGAAAGGAAGGAGAGAAGGAAAGAAAAGGGAAGAAAGGAAGGAAAGAGGGAGCAAAGGAAGGGGGGAAGATGTAGAGCAGTGGTTCTCAACCTTCCTAACGCCGCGACCCCTTAGTACAGGTCCTCATGTTGTGGTGACCCCCAGCCATAACGTTATTTTCGTTGCTACTTCAGAACTGTAATTTTGCTACTGTTAAAATATTCATAATGTAAATATGCAGGATGTATTTTCATTAACTGAACCACATTTAGCACAAATACTCAATACAGCCAAAATTTGAGTACTGGTGAGATTGGGGGTGATTGATTTTGTCAATGCTGGAGTTGCTGGGATTTATAGTTCACTTTAAATCAAAGAGCCTTCTGAACTCCAGCAATGATGGAATTGAATCAAACATGGCACACAGAATTCCCATGACCATGAGAAAATACTGGGAAGGTCTGGTGGATATTGACCTTGAGTATTTGGAGTTATAGTTCACCTACATCCAGAGAACACTGTGGATTCAAGCAATGATGGATTTGGATCAAACTTGGCACAAATACTCAATATGCCCAAATGTGAACACTGGTAGAGTTTGGAGAAAATAGACCTCGCCATTTGGGCATTGTAGGGATTTTTAGTTCACCCACAATGAAATAGCATTCTGAACCCCATCAATGATAGAATTGGGCCAACCTTCCCATACAGAACCCACATCACTAACAGAAAATACTATGTTTTATGATAGTCTTTGGTGACCCCTCTGACACCCTCTCGTGACCCTCACAGGGGTCCCGACCCCCAGGTTGAGAAACACTGATGTAGAGAAAGGGAGGGAAGGAAAGAAGGAAAGAGAGAAGGAAGAAAAGAGAGACAGCAGAAGAGAAAGAAAAAGGGGGAAGGAAGGAAAGAGATAGAGAAGGAAGGAAAGAGGGAGTGAAGGAAGGAGGGAAAGAAGGAAGGTTGGCCACAGCAACGCGTGGCGGGTACAACTAGTACTCGTTATTTATTCACTTTTTAAAAAATGTAACCCACCAATATATAAGAGTTCAAAGAACTGGACTTTGGTTAAAAAGAAAACATTGCATTAATAATTAAATCTGATAGAATTTCATCAAAACATGTGCATTCAGAGACCTTTCATATTTTTTCCAAATCAGTTTCTTGCCATCAAATGTAACTTGGGCAATACACAGGCCCTCCATATAGTGCTATTTGAGTCACGATATTCACAGCAAAAAAAAAAAAGCTAGATCCCCTGGCAGTTTTAACCATTTGCAATCTGCAATATTCATAAATTAAACACACTCTCTTTGGTAAATAATTCTAGGGAGGGGGAGAGAGAATAAAAACAAAACATACTCTGGAATAATCAAGCTCCCTGGGTGCAGAATCAGATAAAGCTCGCACAAGAGCATTCATCATCGTGACTGGAGGCGAAGGTGGGGAGGGCTGGGAAGCCTCTTGCTGCAACGGGCTCTTTGGTTTCGAAGGCAGACGGCCTCTTCTCCCTTTTAAACTGTCAGTGCGGACAACTGATCAAGGCGAGAAAAAGGAAAAACAACAACACAGTTAGTCTTCAACGACACCATGGCCAATTCCTACAAGGCATACCCAAACACTATAGGATCAACTCTGACAATTAGAAGGGTGATGAGATCAGACAAAGATGCCGATTGACATTACCTGCAGTTTTCACTTAATTTCAAGGATATATATTTTTTGTATTGTCGAAGGCTTTCATGGCTGGAATCACTAAGTTCTTGTGGGTTTTTTCGGGCTATATGGCCATGTTCTAGAGGCATTTCTCCTGACGTTTCGCCTGCATCTATGGCAATGCTTGCCATAGATGCAGGCGAAATGTCAGGAGAAATGCCTCTAGAACATGGCCATATAGCCCGAAAAAACCCACAAGAACTTAGATATTATTTTTTATCCTAATCACCCTCTTTCCCTTTCTACTTACCAACATGTATATACTAACATAGTTCCATTCTCCCCAAATAACAATAATGAAGTATGTTCTCTATCGCCTTGTTTAATGAAAGTGCTACATATCTAATTTTTAGGCTTGCAATTATTCTGTTGAAAGCAACTGTGTATTACAATTTGCAAACTACAGATACACACACACAGAAGAAAATATATCAAAATACAACTTGTAACGCCTTCAAAATATTCTTATAATGGTAACTAACTTTTTAAAAAAATAAACTTTATTTATACCCCGCCACCATAATAATAATAATAATAATAATAATAATAATAATAATAATAATTTATTTATTTATTTCTATATATATAAAAATGCTCTGTGCATAATGAGTACCTTAAAAACAAAAGAACCAATGAACGAAATCACACCAAATTTGGCAACAAAAGGTCTCACAACACAAGGAGTGACCATCACTCAAAAAATTATGATTTTGTCATTTGGGAGTTGTAGTTGCTGGGATTTATAGTTCATGATACTAACAGGAGCGGGACGCAGGGAGCATACAACTCCCCTGTTGCGCCAACTCCACTGGCTGCCGACTTGCTACTGGGCTCAATTCAAAGTGCTGGTGTTGACCTTTAAAGCCCTAAACGGTTCCGGCCCAAGCTACCTTTCCGACCGCATCTCAGCCTATGAACCCACCAGAACTTTGAGATCTTCCGGGGAGGCCCTGCTCTCGATCCCGCCAGCTTCACAAGCACGGCTGGTGGGGACAAGAGACAGGGCCTTCTCGGTGGTGGCTCCCCGGCTGTGGAACGCCCTTCCCACAGATATTAGATTAGCACCATCTCTAATGGTCTTCCGCAAAAAAATAAAGACCTGGTTATTTGTGCAGGCGTTCGAATAATTAGTGCAAAGACTGGTAATGACATAGAAATGGAACAATGGATGACGAATCTGGATCATGTTTAGACGCCAGTGAATGGTTATCGTAGTAATTGTGTATTAATTGTATATTAGATTAGGTTGTTAACTGTTTTATATTGGTGTTGAATTCTGCTGTGTTCTGTGTCTTGTGAACCGCTGTGAGTCGCCTTCGGGCTGAGAACAGCAGTATAGAAGCAAAGTAAATAAATAAGTAAATAAATAAAATCTACAATCAAAGAGCATTCTGAACTCCACCAACGATGGAATTGAACCAAACTTGGTACACAGAACTCCCATGACCAACAGAAAATACTGAAAGTGTTTGGTGGGCATTGACCTTCAGTTTTGGAATTGTAGTTCACCTCCATCCAGAGAACACTGAGGACTCAAACAATGATGGATCTAGACCAAACTTGACAGGAATACTCAATATGCCCGACACCAAATTTGGACACAAGACAACTATCAGGCCAATGAGTGACCATCACACATAAAAACACTGGAAAACACAGCGGAAGGGACTTAAAAAGCCAAAAAACAAAATATACATTACAACTCATGCGCAAAACCACATATATATACAAGCACACACATATACACATATATACAAATATATACAGAAATATATACACACATATGCACACACAATTTATTTATTTATTTACTTTATTTGTATACCGCTCTTCTCAGCCAATTAGGTGACTCAGAGCGGTTAACAAGTAGCGGCAAAAATTCAATGCAAACATCGTACAGCCATTTAAAAGACAATTAACACAATAATACAATAAGCAATTAACATCAATAACCACCAGTAAACATCAATAAACAACTCACTGGCGTCTCATAACTAAAACACAAAACACAAAACACATATACACAGAAAGGGGGAAGGAAGGAAGGAGAGAAAGAGGGAAAGAAGGAGGGAAGGAGAGGAAAGAAAGAGAAGGAAATAAAAAGTGAAAGAAGGAAGGAAAGTGAAAGGGAAGGAAGGAGAGAAGGAATAAAAAGAGAGAGGGAGGGAAGGAAGGAAGGAAAAGGAGAAGGAAAGATGGAACCAAAGAGCAAAGGAAGCGAGGAAAGAAACAAGTAGAGAAGAAAGAAGGGAAGGAAAAAGAGGGAACGAAGGAAAGAAGGAAGGAAGGAGAGAAAGAAGAAGAAAAAGAGGGAGGGAAGGTTGGCCACAGCAACGCGTGGCGGGTACAGCTAGTTATTTATATACCGCTTTTTTCAGCCCTCAGGCGACTCAAAGCGGTTAACAGCAAAATTCAATGCAAAACATCATAAAATGATTATGGGACAGTTAAAACAATAGCATCATCAACAATTAAACATCAATATAACAATCATTAGCGTCTCATCAGTAAAATCAGAATCCAATCTCATCATCCGTTAATCCGTGTTCCTATATAATAATAATAATCATCATCATAATCCTTTATTTGTACCCCGCTACCATCTCCCGACAGACTCGGTGTGGCTTACAAGAGGCCAAGCCCAAATACAACAATAAAACAGCAGCAGCAACAACAACACAATAACTCAAAAAACAAAGCAATAACAATTAACAACACCCAATGACACAATTAAAAACAATGGCTGGGCCAATTGTAACAATTAAAATTCAAAAGTGCTGGGCATGACAAGGTGGGGTGTTTGGAGGGGGATGGGTATGCAGATATCCTGAATCTCTGATAAAGTGCATTGGGACACAGTGCTAGGAGTTTCCTTATTCTGGAAAGGCACACTGGAACAACTATATTCATTACACTGCTTAATCGAATGCTTGTTCGAACAGCCAGGTCTTCACTTTCCTCCGAAACGCCAATAGGGATGGGGCCGATCTGATATCTATAGGAAGGGCGTTCCATAGCCGAGGGGCCACCACTGAGAAGGCCCTGTTTCTCGTTCCCGCCAGGTGCGCCTGTGATGCAGGCAGGACTGAGAGCAGGGCTTTCCCAGATGATCTTAATGTCCTAGTTGGTTCATAGTAGGAGATGCATTCGGAGAGGTAAGTAGGGCCAGAACCGTTTACGGCTTTATAGGCTAACGCCAGCACTTTGAATTGTGCCCAGTAGCAAACTGGCAGCCAGTGGAGCCGGCGCAACAGAGGAGTTGTATGCTCCCTGAATGCCGCTCCTGTTAGTAACCTGGCTGCCAAAGATTGGACCATTTGAAGCTTCCAAGCAGTCTTCAAAGGCAACCCAACGTAGAGAGCGTTGCGGTAGTCTATACGGGATGTAACCAGTACAATAATAATAAAAAATTATTTGTACCCCGCTACCATCTCCCCAAGGGACTCGGTGCGGCTTACATGAGGCCAAACCCACAGCACATCAATAAACAAAGGCAATAACAAATAATCAATACAACCGTTAAAATAAAATAAATAAAACTCAAAAACAAAAAAATACACAATAAGCAATAAACAATAACAATAGTAACATATAGAATTTAAAAACCTATGGCCGGGCCAAATGTAATAATTAAAATTAAAATTTAAAGTGTTGGACATGAACTAAGGTAAACTAGGATAGGGTTTTCAAAGAAAGATGAGGGCACGCAGACAATCCTAAATCAATATTAAAGTGCATTTGAGGACATATTGAGGACAATGGCTTCAAACTACAAGAGAGGAGATTCCATCTGAACATTAGGAAGAACTTCCTGACTGTGACAGCTGTTCAGCAGTGGAACTCTCTGCCCCGGAGTGTGGTGGAGGCTCCTTCTTTGGAAGCTTTTAAACAGAGGCTGGATGGCCATCTGTCAGGGGTGATTTGAATGCAATATTCCTGCTTCTTGGCAGGGGGTTGGACTGGATGGCCCATGAGGTCTCTTCCAACTCTTTGATTCTATGATTCTATGATTCTATGATTCTACATATTGTCCGGGATTGTGGCGCAGCTGGCTGAGTGTCAGCTGCATTAAGATCACTCTGACCAAAAGGTCATGAGTTCGAAGCCAGCCCGGTTGGAGTGGGTTTCCAACCAATTGTGTAGCCTGTTGTCGACCTTTGCAACCCGAAAGACAGTTGCATCTGTCAAGTAGGAAAATAGGTACCACCTTAAAGTGTGGGGAGGCTAAATTAACTGATTTATGAGGCCATAAAGAAGACTCCAGCAAAGCATTCCAACGGGGAAGCATGCGGGAATGCGGAAGTGCTTCATCAGCGTCGCAGATGGACGATGAAAGCGACAGCTTCCCTGGCGGCCACAAAAAGTTAAATAGCCTCTGTGCATGTCTGTATATGTTGTATGTTAAAATTAGCATTGAATGTTTGCCATATATGTGTACACTCAGGCCCGTAGCCAGGATTTTGTTTCGGGGGGGGGGGGCTGAATTTGGTTCGGGGGGCTGAGTCTGAGTGAAAGAGGGTCTACCCTAGCAAACCTTTTGTATTGTTACCCCAATACCCCCATGCATATGGGATATATTGAGCATGGTGATCAGATCATGATATGAATAAACATTACAGGTTAAATAATGCACCAGTAAGGCCTTCTCGCGGACCACCATGAGAATTTCGGGAGGGGGGGGTTAAGCCCCCAAGCCCCCCTCCCCCCCGGCTACATGCCTGTGTACACTGTAATCCGCCCTGAGTCCCCTGCGGGGTGAGAAGGGTGGAATATAAAAGCTGTAAATAATAATAATTATATTGCTAAGAGTTTTCCTTATTCTGGGAAGGCACACTGGAACAACCACGTTTTCAGGCTCCTCCTAAAGACTGCCAGCGTTGGGGCATGTCTGATGTCCTTAGGGGGTGAATTCCAGAGTCGAGGGGCTACCACCGAGAAGGCCCTCTCCCTCGTCCCCACCAATCGCCCCTGCGAAGGAGGTGGGAGTGGGGACTTGGAGTGTCTTACATGGGGCCAAGCCAGAACAACAAATTACAATACACAAAATACAAATTGCAGTAAAATAAACAACATAACATTAAAGTATTAAACATCAAGCATGTAAACCAGGGGTCCTCAAACTACGACCCGAGGGCCTAATGCGGCCCTCCAAGGTCATTTGCCCGGCCCTCGCTCAGGGTCAACCTAAGTCTGAAACGACTTGAAAGCACACAACAACAATCCTATCTCATCAGCCAAAAGCAGACCCACACTTCCCATTGAAATACTAATAAGCTTATATTTATGAAAATTGTTCTTCATTTTAATTATTGTATTGTTTTAAAGTGTTTTTTGCACTACAAATAAGATATGTGCAAAGTGCATAGGAATTCATTCTTTTTTTTTTTTTCAAATTATAATCCGGCCCTCCACCAGGTTGAGGGACTCTGTTTAAAAAGTTTGTGGACCCCTGATGCAAACAATATACACAGAACATAGAGACCAAACAAAATGACAGAGGGTGGGCCGCATGTACATAAAATACTTTAAAAACTCTCATGGTGGTTCGCGAAAAGGCCTTACTGGTGCATTATTTAAACTGTTATGTTTATTCATATCATGATCTGATCACCATACTCAATATATCCCATATGCATGGGGGTATTGGGGTAATGATACAAAAGGTTTGCTAGGCTAGACCTCTTTCACTCAGACTCAGCCCCCCCCGAAACCCCCCTACTGAAAATTTTTTAGCCCCCCCCCCCCCGAAACGAAATCCTGGCTACGGGCCTGTCGAGGGAGCAATAGCATAAAATTACGTGCCTACTCTCCGAAAACACAACAGCAGAGCCAGGTCTTGAGACTCTTTTTAAAGGTTTCTAAAGTTTCCTAATCTCTCCGAGCAATTAATTTCAGAGTCGAGGGGCCACAGAAAAACAGAGAAAAGAAACCTTCCATTCATTCTTAGAAGGAAAGGTCATATTTATAATTTCTTTTGTCATTGCCCATTGCAGTAAAAGACTAGACGTAAAACAGCCTTAAAAATAAAAGTTTTTAAGACAACACACTAATGCCAATAACTCAAAACTAGGGCTGGGCGGTTTTGTTCGTTAATTTCGTAATTTGTTATTAATTCGTTATTTTTTTTATAACGAAGCGATATTGAACCATTCAGGAGCAACTAAAAATCGAAACAAATTTTTCAATTCGTTTCATAATTGTTTCGTAATCGGTTCGAAATCGTTTCGAAATCGTTTCGTTATTATTTCCGCATGTCTGGTGCAAGTTTTATAGTTGTTGTTTGTTTTATCAGTGAAAAAAAATAATTAAAAAAGATAATTATCACACCAACAGTCAACAACAGAGGGAGCGGGAAGCTTCAGAAGTTTCCCCTGTCCCATTTGGAGGTTTTTTTAGCGTATTGCGTGGTTGCGTCCGCCATTAACGAATTGATTAGTAATTGTTTCGTAATTGTTTCGTAATTTCTGAAATTTCGTAAATTTCGAACTTTTTTAAAGAAAAATTTCGGAATTCTTTTAAAAATCGAAACGCAAAAACCCCCTAAAAACGAATCGAGTTTAGAAACAAATTTTTCCATGGTTGCCCAGCCCTACTCAAAACTGATTAGTAATCCTTTGACCTTGACCGTTCAAAACAGCATTCAACTAAGCTATAATTGGTTTAATGCCATCATTAAATGGATATAAGCTTTCAATCCTAATAATCACCATGATGTAGTATTTGTATAATACTGGATAGCTTCTTATTATTCATAGAAGGAAAAAAATAGAAAATGTCCATGCAGTTCAAAGAGCCTAAACAAATACATGTAGATACAATACAACATAATGTCGATATCCCATTTGAAATGAGCAGCGTGTGAAACCTTCTTTGACAGCACGGAGAATAGACTAAACAGCTGCTGTGAATTGCCGTCTTTTTAGAAGTTCTCTTCCAGCTCCAGTAGTTGAATAATCTATTCATCATTTGAAATAAAGAGATACTACATACGCTGTCGTGACACTGATCTCTTATATGCATATAGGGGGGGAAGGACAATACTTCTTATTTCTACAAAAATATTTAAGGTAAGAATAACTCCTCTTAAACTCAAGCTATTATTCAGTATGTGATGTGTAGATTTAGAATATCAAACTCTTTACCTTCTTTGACCATGCCGACACTGAGACACTTCTGAAATCGGCAGTATTGACATCTGTTTCGACGGCGTTTATCCACTGGGCAGTTTTTATTAGCCAGGCAAACATATTTTGCATTTTTCTGAACTGTCCTCTAAAAAAAAAAAAACAGAATAGAAGAAAGAGTCAGCTGAATGAGCTGGGACCTGACAAGTTGCATTTTAATTACAATGTGAAAAGCAAGAGTGCAATCCATATAATTAGATAAAATTAATTTCCTAACACAGTAGCCTCCAGGAAAAACAATTTTATTAGTGTTAGCTACTGACAATGAAAATTATTGAGGATGGTTCGGAAGCTAGGCTCGGGAGACAGCTAACTCCTAAATGATAAAATCATATCTGAAATTACCAGGTCATCGCGTCATACCTATGGGAATTAGATTAGCTTCACTTTCAATTTTCCTTTGGGAACAATTTTCTACTTGGTTCATTCCCCTGATTATTACTGACCTTATTAAAATAAAATCAAAATTATCTGCAGATTGATTTTTCTCACTGTCCCTTATTGTTATGCATCAAACTAATTTAAACTCACTGTTACAACAAAGAGAAACAAAGCATCAAGAAAAGCAAATACGCTTGTTAAATTATTCTTATCATTATCATCATCATCATCATCATCATTATTTGTTGTTGTGTGTCTTCAAATCATTTTCAGTTGATGGCAATCCTAAAATGGCCCTAATACAGTAAAAGTTTTCTGAATGCCACCCATTTTCACAAATCTGTTAGCAACGATGTGCAGTATTTACAGTGGACTCTGCAGAAAATGCTTCAGTTGTACTCCACAAAAAGAGAAAACAGCCTACTTGGCAAGCCTTGCAAGTGCAGATTTATTACCTGGAAACATTTGATTTTAATGCCTATTTTATATATCTATATACTTGGGGCCATGTAAAAGCTTATTGGGCAGAAAGGGGTGATGAATGCAAAACAGTTTAAGAAGCCCTGATTTAGACTATTGTTATGCTTAGGACAATTGCTAAAGCTCTGAAGTTTGAGACTTTTAAACTATATTTTAAACTATAATTACCAGCAGTAATTATTTTGTAAAAAGGAATCAGTGGTCTTGAAGTAGACAAAATAGATAAATGTACAATATCAATATCATTTACATGACCACAGATATAGTTATATACATTTACTGATAATAAACAAGCATTTGCAAGACTGATTTTCCTTTTTATGAAGTGTACCTGAAGCATTTTCTACACTGTAAACACTGTATGCTATTGCTAACAAATTCAAGTAAATATATCGAAACTTTTTAGTCTTCCCATTTTTGTGACCACAACATGGAGCTATATATATATACACACAAATATAGTTTAAAAGTCTCAAACTTCAGAGCTTTAGCAATTGTTTAAAAGTCTAATATACACAATATTATATATATATATATATATATATATATATATATATATATATATAGAGAGAGAGAGAGAGAGAGAGACTTTAAAAGTCTCATATACACAAATATAGTTTAAAAGTCTCAAACTTCAGAGCTTCAGAGCTTTAGCAATTGTCCTAAGGATTTTGTATAAAAATAGAAAACCACCAGCAGTAATTATTTTGTAAAAAGGAATCAGTGGGCTTGAAGTAGACAAAATAAATGTACAATATCAATATCATTTACATGACCACATATATAGTTATATACATTTACTGATAATAAACAAGCATTTGCAAGACTGATTTTCCTTTTTATGACTAACAAATTCAAGTAAATATATCGAAACCTTTTAGTCTTCCCATTTTTGTAACCACAACATTGAGCTATGGGGGTCAGGGCCTACAGTTTAAGATGCAGTGGTTTAGTGTATGCCTTTAAAGATAATTATATATATATATATATATATATATATATATATATATATATATATGCATACACACACACACACACACACACACAAACACACACACACAAATATAGTTTAAAAGTCTCAAACTTCAGAGCTTTAGCAACTGTTTAAAAGTCTAATATACACAATATTATATATATATATATATATAGAGAGAGAGAGAGAGAGTTTAAAAGTCTAATATTCACAAATATAGTTTAAAAGTCTCAAACTTCAGAGCTTCAGAGCTTTAGCAATTGTCCTAAGCATTTTGTACAAAAACAGAAAACCACCAGCAGTAATTATTTTGTAAAAAGGAATCAGTAGCCTTGAAGTAGATAAAATAGATAAATGTACAATATCAATATCATTTACATGACCACAGAAATAGTTACATACATTTACTGATAATAAACAAGCATTTGCAAGACTGATTTTCCTTTTTATGAAGTGTACCTGAAGCATTTTCTACACTGTAAACACTATTGCTAACAAATTCAAGTAAATATATCGAAACTTTTTAGTCTTCCCATTTTTGTGACCATAACATTGAGCTATGGGGGTCAGGGCCTACAGTTTAAGATGCAGTGGTTTAATGTATGCCTTTAAACATCATGATACTGAATAAGACTAAAGTTAAATTGTAGATTATTCTGTTTATTTCAGTTTAGCCCACACAGGAATCATTTTTATTGAATCTTTTATCTTTCTTAAGAAAAAAAATAGGCATATTGTTGCCTCACTATCTTCAGCAGTCTATTACACAGATGGACGCTTCTCTCAATTTTGCTTTATCTCTGTTTCTAATTTTTCTAGTTTGTTCTGTTCTGTTCTGTTTCCAATCTGTTTGCATTTTTTCTAGTTTTTACAAAAACTTTCCTAGGCAGTTCTAATTTAATATTTCTGTTTTGCCGGCTATATTCATTTTTGAAGGCAATTTAATTAATATTGAAATGTACAATGTTATTTTCCCTATTATTTACAATTTTTGCAAGACACTTATAGCACATATATTTTGGTATGCATTTTTTAAGTGAAAAACTGTATCACAAAATCTGAAGATGTGTAAATACTGATTGATTACTTGATACAGATTTGGGAAATGTAAATTGAATTCTCCTGCCCCCATTTCTAGTCTAATAAAAACCACCTTTCCTCTAATATTCAGTATACAATTTTCCTAACTAAACAACCAAGATACTTGTGAGTATGGCATATAAGAACAATTAAAATAATATTTTCATTTCTCACTATATATATAGCACAGGGGTCCTCAAACCTTTTGAACAGAGGGCCAGGTCACAGTCCCTCAAACTGTTGGAGGGCCGGATTATAATTTGAAATAAACATGAATGAATTCCTATGCACACTTCACATATCTTATTTGTAGTGCAAAAAAAAAAAAACACTTAAAAACAATACAATAATTAAAATGAAGAACAATTTGAACAAATATAAAATTATTAGTATTTCAATGGGAAGTGTGGGCCTATTTTTGGCTGATGAGATAGGATTGTTGATGTTGTTGTGTGCTTTCAAGTCGTTTCAGACTTAGGTTGACCCTGAGCAAGGGCCAGGTAAATGACCTTGGAGAGCCGCATCCGGCCCCCGGGCCATAGTTTGAGGACCCCTGATATAGCACATCTCAAGAGCTTTGGGTATTTCACTGACAATATATTAGCGATCATCACAATAGATCTATTAAGACGCCCGTATGTTTATCCATATACCCAAAAGTCTGAGTGGTTTCTTAAAGGTTTTGTTTCTTTTTGTAAACCGCAAACAATAATATTTCAGTGCATGAATATCAATGCAGGCTTGCTTCTCTGTGACTCTTAGGTTGGTTTGGAACTGGTTTAGAAGGAACTGGTTTTGCTGTGCAGATGATTAGATTGGCTTCTATGGAACTGGTTTGAGGCCAGGAAGATTATTACATTACCCACAGAACGTGGTCTCAAACTACTATTTGGGTCTTCTCCCCAATTCCTGGGAGAGATGAGCACTCATGGTGTATAGGCGGTGAGAAAAAAATCAAGGAAAGTGACAGTTAGTGGAAGTTATCAATTCTCTTCCCAGGGTATCAATTAGTTCCCTGCTAGCCAGCCATGCCCTTGGGGCATTTTTCAACAGCCCCTCACCTCTGCAATCTGAATTCTATAAGGCACTTCAGCAAGGGTGGAAGTCTACAATGAGTCCCCCTCGGGGTGAGAAAAGCGGTATACAAATACTCTAAATAAATAACATAAATAATAAATACAACGCACTTCATATTTTCTGGAGTCAATTTTATGTTGTGATCTAGGATATCTTGGGATACTGGGTTAGTGTGAGTTTTCTGAGCTGTATAGCCATGTTCCAGAAGCATTCTCTCCTGACATTTTGCCCACACCTTGGGATATGCTAACGTTCATTAAAGGGCTTTCCTGCAACTTTTAAAATGTGTTTTTTTTTTTGTCGTGTCAGGAACGACTTGAGAAACCGCAAGTTGCTTCTGGTGTGAGAGAATTGGATGTTGCCCAGGGGACGCCCGGATGATTTGATGTTTTTATCATCCTTGTGGGAGGCTTCTCTCATGTCCCTGTATGAGGAGCTGGAGCTGATAGAGGGAGCTCATCCGCCTCTGCCTAGATTCGAACCTGCGACCTGTCGGTCTTCAGTCCTGTGGCACAGGGGTTTAACCCACTGCACCACCGGGGGCTCCTTAAAATGTGCTGTAACCTCTTTAATCTGTGCTGCAATGTGATCCAATACTATGATGAAAGAAGATGAGAATCCCATCTAATGCCCTGAGTTCCTCGGAATAAGGACAGGATACAAATGTTCCAAACTAAGTACATTAAATGGGAATAGAATGAAGCCAGCATATACATTTCACAAGTAAAATGTTTGGGGAAGAAACCATTTCTCATTTTTGGACTGAAGTTGGGATTACAAATTCTTTCACATTCATCTATTGCCATTCTCGCCTATCCATTACACTTATCAACCTTTAGATGGAAACTGTGTAACTCTCCAGATGTTGTTGAACTACAACTCCCAGCAGCCTTACCTAGCATAGCCAATACTGAGGACTACCAGGAGTTGAAATTTGAAGGCATCAATGATTCACACAATTTCCATGCCTGGTAAAAGTCCCGGGACAAGGACCTCTTATTGTGTGTATGTGCTTTTAAGTAGCCGGTTGGCTTACGATGACCCATGAGGGCAATGGTTCCCAACCTGTGGTCCGTGGACCAACAGTGGTTTGCAAGAACTAAAATATGGTCCATGGCCTCACCTTTACTACACAGTTGCAACAAAAGCAACTGGTCATGCAAAACCGCCTATCTGAGTGATTGCATTTCTATTTACGAACCCACGCGATCTCTTCGATCGTCCGGAGAGGCCCTACTTTTGCTCCCGCCCCCTTCGCAGGCGTGACTGGTGGGGACAAGGGAGAGGGCCTTCTCTATGGTGCCCCCAACTTTGGAACTCACTCCCCAAGGACATCAGGCAAGCCCCCACATAGGCAGTCTTTAGGAGGAGTTTGAAAACTTGGCAGTTCCAATGTGCCTTCCCTGAATAAAGGAAACAATATCCTGATCTGACCAATTTCCTGCAAAATGTCCTCTGAAGGACTTTATCTACCTGTTGGAGTAATTCCCTACACAGGGGCGGCTCAAGCCATTACGCGAAGTAAGCATTCGCAGTATAGTTGATTTTGCCCAGGGGCGCTCTTGGGGAAAATAGACCTTGACATATGCGAGTTGTAGTTACTGGGATGTATAGTTCACCTACAATCAAAGAGCATTCTGAACTCCACCAATGATGGAATTGAACCAAATATGGCACACAGAACTCCCACGATGAACAGAAAATATATATCAGTGATTGGTTGGGGGGCGGGGGCACCAAAATACTGTTTGCTTATAGTTGAAAATTACCTAGGGCTGCCCTGTCCCTACATTACCCTCAAAAAAACTCTGTTTAGACATACTCTACTGCTGTTCACACCCAGTGTTTTAAATTTTAATTTTTTAAAATTTATTACATTTGGCCCTGCCCACAGTGTTGGATTCTTGTACTTTAAAATTTCTATTTTATTGCTTATATGTTATTTATAATGCTTTGTATTGTATTTTATTTTGCTGCTGTATTGTTTTTATTGATGTTTTTACTGTTGGGCTTGGCCTCATGTAAGCTGCCCCGAGTCCCCTTGGGAAGATGGTGGTGGGTTATAAATAATTATTATTATAGTCAGAGGTGGCCCTAGGTAATTTTCAACGGTAAACAAACAGTATTTTGGCGCCCCACCCCCAACCAATCATTGATATATATTTTCTGTTCCTCATGGGAGTTCTGTGTGCCATATTTGGTTCAATTCCATCATTGGTGGAGTTCAGAATGCTCTTTGATTTTAGGTGAACTATACATACCAGTAACTACAACTCGCATATGTCAAGGTCTATTTCCCCCCAAGAGCGCCTCAAGAGCGCCCCTGGGCAAAATCAACTATACTGCGAATGCTTACTTTGCGTAATGGGTTGAGCCGCCCATGATTACAGTGCCGAGGCTTATTAAATATGCTTTTCTGTGGGTGAGCAGATGGCGACCACTGGATGGCATGTATTCTGTATCAGAAACTAGAGCTGATGTGATCTATCCCATTCAATTTTCTGAATCAGCACCCCAAATAACCAAACCGAATCTAAACAGATTCGTAACCCTTTTGGTAGTAATGTCGGAAAGTGGACCCTGGTCAAGTGGTCCCTGGTCAAAAAAAGATTGGGAACCACTGCATGAACGTCATTGGGTTTGGCCAGTTCCTTCCTCTGAAATATAGCCTACACCACTTGGTATTCATAGATGCCCCATCCATAGATACCCCCAGTGGCGCAGTGGGTTAAACCCCTCTGCCAGCAGGACTGAAGACCGACAGGTCACAGGTTCGAATCTGGGGATAGGCGGATGAGCTCCCTCTATCAGCTCCAGCTCCTCATGCGAGGACATGAGAGAAGCCTCCCACAAAGATGATAAAAACATCAAATCATCCGGGCGTCCCCTGGGCAACGTCCTTGCAGACGGCCAATTCTCTCACACCAGAAGTGACTTGCAGTTTCTCAAGTTGCTCCTGACACGAAAATAATACATAATAATAATCCAAATGTTAACTAGGACTGATTCTACTTAGCTTTCAATATCAGATAGGATCTTGATTGTTAATTCTCAACAGTGCTGTGTAATGACAATTCTCTAGAAAGATGCGTGAACAGTGAAGATAAGAACCAATTTGACCATCACAAAGACAGGTGACACTACTTTAACAAGCATTCAAATTATTCCAACACTTCCAACAGACCTCACTACCTCTGAGGATGCTTGCCATAGAAAAATTGCCTCCAGAACATGGCCATATACAACAACCCAGTGATCCTGGCCATGAAAGCCTTCGACAATACTTGAAAGAAAGTTGGTTAATCACAGAGCTATATTATCACTAGGGCTGTGCAACATACCACAATCCTTGTGGATAGACACATTGTAATTCAAACAGTTTACTTTAGTTACAACTAAATCCCATTGAAAGGAGCAAATGTCCTCCCATTGGTTTCTCTGAACCCTACAGCCTAAATATGTACACACCTACCTAGGAGACCAATTATTTGGAGACCCACAAAGGTACGTCAAGTCAGATTCTATAGGTTTGTTCTTAAGCTGAATTTGAATATATATCAGAACAGATGCATTTTAAAAGTGTAACTTGAGCCATATATGTGTGTGTGCATGCACACATGTGTTTTGGATTGCATAGGGAAAGGTTAATACACTTGCAAAGTTTGTTTTCATGTCTGTGCCCCTCTTCAGAAGATTTCATCTCATTTTCTGTCTCTATGACAATTGGATTTTGAAAATTTTGGCTTGCCATGGAAACAAAGATTCAGTAGAGACACCTATTCCTCATGGGAGTGACTTTCCCTTCCTAGGGGTGGATTTCCTCTCATTTCCTGTTGTCTTGCCCCTGTTTGTAACTAGGAGTCCAACATAACTCAGATGTCTGTAACTTGGGGACTGCTTGTACTTACTTGCTAATCAGTAAATCCCATCAAACACAGAGAAACATACTTATGAGTAAATTATTAAACCAAGATCCTCAAACTATGGCCCGGGGGCCAGATACGGCCCTCCAAGGTCATTTACCCGGCCCTCGCTCAGGGTCAACCTAGGTCTGAAACAACTTAAAAGCACACAACAACAACAATCCTATCTTATTAACCAAAAGCAGGCCCACACTTCCCATTGAAATACTAATAAGTTTATATTTGTTAAAATTGTTCTTCATTTTAATTATTGTATTGTTTTAAAGTGTTTTTTGAACTACAAATAAAATATGTGCAGTGTGCATAGGAATTCATTCATATATTTTTTCAAATTATAATCCGGGCCTCCAACAGTTTGAGGGACTGTGATCTGGCCCTCTATTTAAAAGGTTTGAGGACCTCTGTATTAAACTGTTGTGCTGTCAATCATGTTATTCAGAAAGACAGAGAAACCAATGGGATGGTACCGAGATTAGTGAGTTTGTAGCAGTTCTTACCTTGAAGAAGCCTTTACAGCCTTCACATGTTCGCACCCCATAGTGCTGGCAGGCAGCATTGTCCCCACATACTGCACATGTACCCTCTCCTGATGAAGAACTTCGGCTGTGGGGCGAAGGGAGGCCACTGCTGCTACCACTGCTCTCACCCAGCAGACCGGATGTGGCTGCATTGAGTCCCAATGGTGAGAAGGCTAAGGTGGCCGCTCGCTTGGACAATGGCAGCCCATATGGGTGATTTTCCATAGCTGCTTGGCTCGCAGTTGGCCTCTCTGGTCCAATGGGTAGATTCAAGGCGGTGGCATCATAGCACATGTGGGTGCTGGCAGTGGGCGTGTGGGGTGGTGAATGCTTGAAATGGAAGAGTGGGAAACGGCTAGACATTGTTTTCATGGGGGCAGTGTCCATCAAATGGCTAGGGGCCATGCAGGTCTGTGCCGGTGGAAGAGGGTGTGGGGGCGGCGGTTCATCCCAGGGGGCCTGGTGGGGAGGAAAACCAGGGGTGGTAGGTGTGGAAGGTGGCGACTGCTTGAAATACATGGGGGCGTTTGCCACGCCTTCTTCCATGGAAGGAGGCAGTGAAGAGTGGTAACTGTGCATCCGATTATCTTCCATCTTAATGAGAGGCCTCTGGCTTGCAGAAGAGGATGGTGAGGAGGAGGAAGAAGAGGCAGACTGCATTTGGTATAGGCAGGAGGGCTTGAGCTCATAGCCCCCAGCATAGCCCTCCATAAAAGTACTGAAGCTGGGTAGAGAGGTGGTAGCAGTAGCACTGATCTCAGCACTGCTCAGTTCCATTGTCAGCTTGCTGTAGTCAGGGTTCATGATCTCAGGGCTGTACTCTGAGCCATAGGCAAAGCTCTGAGATGCATATGTGGAGCCGGGAGGCGAGGGGCTGTACTGGGCTTGCACGCAGGGCATATCTGGAAGGGCAAAAGTAAGGTCAGTTAGCAATAACAACATTGACAGCGTGCTCGTCAACACATTTTCCTTATACCCTCCTTCTGTAGTTCACAGTTCCATAGGGATACCAAGGTGCTTGTTTATAAAGCTATTGTCCTCCCAACCCTGCTCTATGCCTGTGAGACGTGGACTGTCTACAGACGTCACATGCAACTCCTGGAACGATTCCATCAGCGCCGCCTCCGGAAAATCCTGCAAATCTCTTGGGAAGACAAGCGGACAAACGTCAGCGTGCTGGAAGAAGCAAAGACCACCAGCATTGAAGCGATGGTCCTCCGCCATCAACTCCGCTGGACCGCCAACTATGTCCGGATGCCTGACCACAGTCTCCCAAAGCAGTTGCTCTACTCCAAACTCAAGAATGGAAAATGAAATGTTGGTGGACAGGAAAAGAGATTTAAAGATGGGCTCAAAGCCAACCTTAAAAACTCTGGCATAGACACTGAGAACTGGGAAGCCCTGGCCCTTGAGCACTCCAGCTGGAGGTCAGCTGTGACCAGCAGTGCTGCAGAATTTGAGGAGGCACGAATGGAGGGTGAAAAGAGAAACGTGCCAAGAGGAAGGCGCGTCAAGCCAACCCCGACCGAGACCGCCTTCCACCTGGAAACCAATGCCCTCACTGCGGAAGAAGATGCAGAGCAAGAATAGGGCTCCACAGCCACATACGGACCCACAAGAATATTGGAAGACAATCATCCTCGGAAAGCGAGGGATCGCCTAAGGAAGTTCACAGAAACAGGTGATACCTTTCTCACTTGGGAGAAAACATTTCTATGGAGCAAAGAGCGTACTAACCACATGTAGAGGTGTGCATCTCATTCTGGCCATTCATCTAGAGCAGGGGTCCTCAAACTTTTTAAACAGGAGGCCAGTTCACTGTTCTTCAGACCACTGGTGGGTCGGACTATATATATATTTTAAAAACTGTGCTCAAATTCCTATGCATACTGCATATATCTTATTTTGTAGTAAAAAAGCAAACAAAATCAAAACAGGAACAAATACAATATTTAAAATGAAAAACCACTTTAACAGGCATGTAGCCGGGGGGGGGGGGGGGGCGGGGGGCGGGGGCTTCCCCCCTGTAGCCAAAATTCTCATGGTGGTTCTCGAAAAGGCCTTACTGGTACATTATTTAAACTGTTATGTTTATTCATATCATGATCTGATCACCATACTCAATATATCCCATATGCATGGGGGTATTGGGGGAATGATACAAAAGGTTTGCTAGGGTAGACCCTCTTTCACTCAGACTCAGCCCCCCCCAACCAAACTCAGCCCCCCCTAATGAGAACATTCAACACCCCCCCCCCCCCCCCCCCCCCCCCCGAAACGAAATCCTGGCTACGGGCCTGCACTTTAACTCAGTGTTATGGAATCCTGGAGCTGCAGTTTGATATTTTGCCAGAAAAGGTGAAACATCTTATAAAATTTTAAATCCCCGGATTCCATAGCATTATGCCATGACAGTTAAACTGGTTGTTGAAGGCTTTCATGGCCGGAATCACTGGGTTGCTGTAGGTTTTTTCGGGCTGTATGGCCATGGTCTAGAGGCATTCTCTCCTGACGTTTCGCCTGCATCTATGGCAAGCATCCTCAGAGGTAGTGAGGTAGTCACTACCTCTGAGGATGCTTGCCATAGATGCAGGCGAAACGTCAGGAGAAATGCCTCTAGAACATGGCCCTATAAAAAACCCACTAGAACTGAGTGCAGGTCATTTACCCAGCCCTCGCTCAGGGTCAACCTAAGTCTGAAACGACTTGAAAGCACACAGCAGCAACAACAACAACCTTATCTCATCAGCCAAACGCAGACCCACACTTCCCATTGAAACACTAAGTTTATATTTCTTAAAATTGTTCATTTTAATTATTGTATTTTTAAGTGTTTTTTGCACTACAAATAAGATATGTGCAGTGTGCATAGGAATTCATTCATGTTTTTCAAATTATAATCCGGCCCTCCAACAGTTTGAGGGACTGTGACCTGGCCCTCTGTTTAAAAGGTTTGGGGACCCCTGCTCTGGACCATGGCCATACAGCCCGAAAAAACCTACAACAACCCAGTCAAACTGGTGTCGAACTGCATTAATTCTGTAGTGTAGATGCACTCTATTTTTCAGCACTTTAGCTGCACATCATTAGGTGGCCCCTCTTCATATACACCAGTGGTTCTCAACCTTCCTAATGCTGTGACTCCTTAATATAGTTCCTCATGTTGTGGTGATCCCCAATCCTAAAATTATTTTTGTTGCTACTTCACAACTGTTATTTTACTACTTTTATGAATCGTAATGTAAATATCTGATATGCAGGATGTATTTTCATTGTTACAAAGTGAACATAAAACATATCACAAAAACAATATGTAATTATATATTGTGAAAGAGAGAGAGAGAGCATGAGGGGAGACAGAAAGAATGAAAGGAGCTTTGCCTCCTCGTCAGTGGGCCAGATAAATGCCTTCGGTGGGCCTCATGTGGCCCCCGGACCGTAGTTTGAGAACCCCTGATCTAGAGAAAGAGACTCTGTGCAGCATGCTTCTGGTGATACTGAAAGGTTTTCTATATAGGGAGCTCCTTACATTTGTGGCCGACTTGAGGAAGAGCGAGGGAATTGCCAACCTATCAAAGTGTCAAAGTGAAAGCAAGTCTGCTTTCAGCTACATAGAAGAAAAGGTTAATTAAGGGAATAAGAAGTAGAATTCAACCTTCTCCTTGCAGCTCTCCTTCATCTGCTCTTCAATATATAGTAAAGTAACGGAAACTTAAACAAGAAAGCAAAAGAACACAGTTCTGATATATATTCTGAGACAGAGCAATTATGAAAGAAAGAAAGAAAGAAAGAAAGAAAGAAAGAAAGAAAGAAAGAAAGAAAGAAAGAAAGAAAGGAAGGAAGGAAAGAAGGAAAGAAAGAAAGAAAGAAAGAAAGAAAGAAAGAAAGAAAGAAAGAAAGAAAGACAGGAAGGAAGAAAGAAAGAAAGAAAGAAAGAAAGGAAGGAAGGAAGGAAGGAAGGAAGGAAGGAAGGAAGGAAGGAAGGAAGGAAGGAAGGAAGAGATATTAGAACATTGGTTGGCTATAGTATACCTTAAAGGAGGAATAGAAATGTCTGTACTAGAGGTAAATGTTTTGTACTTATTTGATAGGGGTAGCTTGGAGACAGTGTTTCTGATCTTGCATTTTAGAGGTTGTTCTCACCAGTATAAAGCATGAATCACCAGAGCTAATCTTGTGAATTGTAGTAGAAATAGGGAATTTATAAAACTGCAGGTGACTAAAATCTATATAAATAAAAATGTAATGTTCGTTTGTGGGATTAACATAACTCAAAAACCACTGGACGAATTGACACCAAATTTGGACCCAAGACACCTATCAGGCCAATGAGTGACCATCACTCATAAAAACACTAAAAAACACAGCAGTAGGGATATAAAAAGCCAAAAAACAAAAAATACATTATAACACATGCACAAAACCACATATATACATAAACACACATATATACACATATACACAAATATATACACACACAAAACACATATACACAGACTGGACCACAGCAATCTTTTAAAAATAGAATACTGCGTCTAAATGGCTGATTTAAAGAAGGAATTCACTGTTGAACCTATTCCTACATTTTAACACTTAATCTATATAAATAAAAATGTAATGTTCGTTTGTGGGATTAACATAACTCAAAAACCACTGGACGAATTGGAAATTTGGACACAATACATTTATCAGGCCAACGAGTGACCATCACTCATAAAAACACTGAAAAACACAGCGGTAAGGATATAAAAAGCCAAAAAAACCAAACAAACATTACAACACATGCACGAAACCACATATATACACAAACACACATATATACACATATACACAAATATATACACACATAAAACACATATACACAGACTGGGCCACAGCAACTCGTGGCAGGGGACAGCTAGTATATATAAATAAAAATGTAATGTTCATTTGCGGGATTAACATAACTCAAAAACCACTGGACGAATTGACACCGAATTTGGACACAATACACCTATTAGGCCAACGAGTGAACATCACTCATAAAAACACTGAAAAACACAGTGGAAAAGACTCAAAAAGTAGGGGGGGAACCCCAAAACATTACAACGCATGCATGAAACCACACATATATGCAAACACATATATATATATACACATATATACAAATATATACACACACACATACACATAACAATTATGTGTATAACACACCTATATATACACATAATGTAAACATACAAAACACATATACACAGACTGGGACACAGCAACGTGTGGCAGGGGATATCTAGTATCTATATAAATAAAAATGTAATGTTCGTTTGTGGGATTAACATAACTCAAAACCACTGGACGAATTGACACCAAATCTGGACACAATACACCTATCAGGCCAACGAGTGACCATCACTCATAAAAACACTGAAAAACACAGTGGAAGAGACTTAAAAAGTCAAAAAATAAAAATACATTACCACGCATGCACAAAACCACATATATACACATATACGCAAATATATACACACACAAAATACATACACACAGACTGGGCCACAGCAACACGTGGCAGGGGGCGGCTAGTAATACAATAAATATAAAAGTTGCTTTTTGCTTTTTGTTCTTGATGACTAAAATAGAAGTGAAACTTCTGTGCAAAGACGGAAAAGCCTTCATGAAACATCCAAAGTTTCATCTTCTCGGAAATTTAACAAGGAAAAGAGGAAGCACATATATTACATTGAAGTTCAGCATTTCCTGTTCTTTTTGACGCCTTTCAAATAAATGCCACATTCCTAGAAAAGCCCCTTCGAACCACAGCCCTTCACCTTTAGTATGTTCTTTTCATTTCTATTTTACTATTAAAAGCCATGAAAGCAACACATTAATATTGCATTTATTGCCAAACCAATGTTGCTGAGCTCTGAAAAGTGGGGTGAAAGAAAACGCTTTCAAAGTGTAGGTGGTTATATCTTTGTAATTTGTTTTCACTGTTTTTAATACTGCTCGTGTTTGATGCCATTGCCATCTATATAAATAAAAATGTAATGTTCGTTTGTGGGATTAACATAATGCAAAAACCACTGGATGAATTGACACCAAATTTGGAAACAATACACCGATCAGGCCAACCAGTGACCATCACTCATAAAACTCCTCCAAAAAAACCAGCAAAAAGGACTTTAAAACCCCCAAAATCTAAATGATGAAAAGCTAAATGACGATACAGAAAAATACAGAGAGGGAAGGAAGGGGAGAAAGAAGGAAGGAAGGAAGGAAGGAAGGAAGGAAGGAAGGAGGAAGAAGGAAGGGGAAGGAAGGAAAGAAAGAAAGGAGAGAGAAAGAGGGAGGAAGAAAAGAAGGGAAAGAGGAAGAAAAGAAGGAAAGAGAGAGGTAGAGAAGGAAGAAAGGAGAGAAAGAGGATGGAAAAGAAAAGGGGGGAAAGAAGGAAAGAGGTAAAGAAGGAAGGAGAGAAGGAAAGAAAAAGGGAAGGAAGGAAGAAAAGAGGGAGTGAAGGATGGAGGAAAAGAAAGGAGAGAAAGAGGGAGGGAAGGAAAGAAGGAAAGAAAAAAGGGAAGGAAGGAGGGAGGGAGGAAGGGGAGGAAAGAAAGGAGAGAAAGAGGGAGGGAAGGAAGAAGGAAAGAAGGAGAAGAGATGGAAGCAAAAAGCGAAGCGAAGGAAGGAAGGAAGGAGGGAAGGAAGAAATGAGAGGAAAAAAAGATAAAGAAAAAGGGGGGAAGGAAGGAAAGGTAAAGAAGGAAGGAAGGAGAGAAGGAAAGAAAAAGGGAAGGAAGGAAAGAGGGAGTGAAGGAAGGAGGGAAAGAAGGGAGAAAAGAGGGAGGAAGGAAGAAGGAAAGAGAGAATGGAAGCAAAAAGCAAAGGAAGGAAGGAAGAAAGAGGAGAAAAGGAAAAGGAGAGAAAAGAAAAAGGAAGGAGGAAAGAAGGAGAGGAAAGGAGGGAGAGAAAGAGGGAGGGAAGGAAAGAAGGAAAGAGAGAAGGAAGAATGGAAGCAAAAAAGCAAAGGAAGGAAGGAAAGAGGTAGAAAAGGAAGAAAGGAGAGAAAGAGGAAGGAATAGAAGGAAGGAGATAGAAGGAAGGAAGGAGAGAAGGAAAGAATACAAGGGAAGGAAGGAAAGAGAGAGTGAAGGAAGGAGAGAAAGAGAGAGGGAGAGAGGGAAGAAGGAAAGAAAGAAGAAAGGAAGTAAAAAGCAAAGGAAGAAAAGAGGCAGAGAACGAAGAAAGAAGAGAAAGAAAAGAAAGGGGGGAAGGAAGGAAAGAGGTAGAGAAGGAAGGAAGGAAGGAAGGAAGGAAGGAAGGAAGGAAGGAGAGAAGGAAAGAAAAAAAGGAAGGAAGGAAGGAAAGAGGGAGTGAAAGAAGGAGGGAAAGAAGGTGAGAAAGAGGGAGGAAAGGAAAGAGAGAAGG